TCTGTCTTTTGCACAGTGTACATCTTAAATGTTATGAGTCTGCATATATCTATTTATAAAATTTATGTAAATTTTCTTAGGAAATGAAAATACTAAAGATATTTCTGACAGTTGATATATTAAGTAAGAGTTAATATATATTAAGACAAATGCATTTTCTTTTGTTCTCTTCTATTCTATAGTAAGTTAGCTTTGTTCTATTAAGGGTGGCTGTAACGATGCCGACGTCCCGTAATCCTGCTGTTAAAACATAACAATTGGTTTTTATCTCGGTTTTTATATACAGGGTGGCGCACCTCATTCGCCTCGGTTGATTATACGAAAACGGAAAGATGTAGAGATCTAAAAAAAGGCATTGTGTAAGGGTAAATTTTAAGAAAAACGGTTTACCAATGTTCTTAAAAATAAACAAAATATATTATTTTTATTTAATCTTTCGAGGGCTATAATTTCTTCGGGAATCATTTTAGGGCATATCTTTTTATTAAGCTTATAAAAGGAACTTTTTGTTTGATTTTTATCTGTAGAATCACCCACCGAAGCTAGATATACTATTTTTTGACACCTTGTATATTTGATTATCTTTCTAGACTAGAATATGCTTCTTTCTTTATTTTTCCTTTATTTTCCGAAGAATCTCTATTCTAAAATGTTTATTTAGTATGCCACTGATTTGCAGTGGATAGTGGATATCAATTATTACAAATAAGCTATAAGCATGCGTAATGTAAGCTGTCAATGGCGGAAGGTGGCGGAGTTTGGAACCTAATTTATTTAAAAATTAAATTTCTATACAGGGTGATCCAAAATGTATTCGGGAAACTTCGGTTAGAAATAAGTAAAAAAGTCCGTATAAATATAATATGTATGTCTTGAGATGTTTCGTTTCGGAGATACAGGATGTAGAAGTTTCATTTTTATTTCTATTTTTTTTTTCCAAATAATGAATTTTTTTTCAATCCAAACTAACGTCGATATTTGGATGGAAATGGGTGTCTGGGGTTTTTTTAACATGAGAAATTTGGGTTTAAATCTGTATTGAACTACGGAGTAAAAAAACATACATTTACAACGTTTTTTACGTAAAAAAAAATGTATTTTGGTAAGAATCGCTACAAGTAATGAATCTCGAGATTTTGGAATAGAAATTATCAATGTTTTCTGTGCATAACTGTTTTATCATAATATTTTCGAAGAAAAATTTATGGTTGTATGGTTGCTAAAATGATAAATTTGGGCACTTTTTATTTTTAAATTAAATAACTATCTATTTATTCAACCTGTTTATTTTTTGTCAATAATGACATGTATTGACTATTTCCTTTCTAAATATCTTGAGAACGGTTGCTCGTAACGATTTTTACCAAGAGGAGATTTTTTCACTCAGTAATTTTATACAGGTATGGACGAAAAGTTACTACTCTTCAAAACAGTTAAAACTCCTGTAGTTGGCACCTCCCTACTAACTAGTAGCCTTATTGACATTGAAATCTAGTAGTATATATATAATATTGTCATTAAAATCATATTTCTTATGTCAAAAACACCTAGACACCAATTTTTATCTAAATATCGACTATAGTTCAGAAATTATTTGGCAGAATTCGAAATAAAAATGAAACTTTTACACCCTATACCCGAAACGAAGCATATTAGGACATAAATTTATACGAACTTTTTGACTTATTTTTATTTATATCTGCAGCATATATTACTTATTATTTATTTCTATTTTTTCCAAATAATTTCTGAAGTAACGTCAATATTTCGATGAACATACGATAGCTTCCAAGATTTACAAATAGCGGTAGAGAGTTAAGTTTCTCTGATATACAGGGTGGTCCGAACTGTATTCCAGAAACTTCGGCAGCATATTCTGCAGATAAAAATAAGTAAAAAGTTCCTATAAATGTATGTATGCTGAGTTTCGGAGATACGGGGTGTAGCAGTTTCATTTTTATTTCGATTTTTTCCAAATAATTTCTGAAGTAAACGTCAATATTTGGATAAAAATTGGTGTCTGGGAGTTTTTTGCCATGAGAAATTTGATTTTGATGTCAATATGACTCCTATTCGTATGCACTTTCCCAAATACAATTCAACACATCAGATATCATTAATAGGTATCAGTTCAGCCATTCTTGAGTTATAAATGGTGCTAACTAACCTTACTTTCTTTTATTTATTTTGATTTAAAAAAAATTAATATCAATTTCTTTTTCCCATACATAAGTAGATTTGTTTATAACTAATTAATATTCTTTGGATAAATTTGGATAATTTTGGATATGTATTGTAAATTATACAAGGTGTCCCAGAAATAAGTGCAAATATTTTAACTGGTAGTATAGTTCAACCCCAGAAACATGCCTATGAGGTTTTTTTCGCAAAAAATTTTTTTTGAAAATTCGAAATTTTTTTTAAATTTTTTTGGATTTTTTTTTAGTTTTTAGTTAAAAAACATAATTTCTTGATAATATGGCAACATAGGTATTAGATTAAATTTACAAGAAAGAAAATGCAGAAAAGATCCAATGGTTCTCAAAATTTTAGCAAGAAATATTTTTTTTAGCAAATTTTCAAAGTAAAATAACTCCGTTATTTTGAACTTATTTGAAAAACGATAAAGAGAAAATATGTTTCTTTTATCGAAAACTACCACCCCTTAAAATATTTGCACTTATTTCCGGGACACCCTGTATAGGCAATCAATTATCAAATTTTGTAGTTTACAGTATGTACAGGGTACGTATTATAAGATTTTTATAATTTTTCTTTTGTTAAATTACCAATATTACCATTAATAAAGATTATATTCTACGCTTTTTGTAATGATTTCAACCAAAACCGAAATATCTATAATGTAGTAACTCGTGACAATAAAACACCTATAGACCGAATAACATGTAAGTTGATTAGATTTAGTCACGAATATAAGTCGTCGACCCAAATCGACTTATTTGGGCGAAATTTGAGACAATTATCTCTGTACTTCAGAAAGCATTTTGTTGTACTTTTTATCAGTACTATTACTAAAATTAGGACAATTATTCTAAATACGCAATTCAGGTTATTCAGTATGTACCGATAAAAGTAAATCATCTTATTTTCACTTCACAGTTGAATTAATCGTGTTCCATTTTTTAGCGTAATCAATGCATTTAATGCAGATTTATTTAAATAAAAAAATAAATTTGCGTTACTGTTAATTAATGAAATGAAAGCAATTGTTATGTTTTTTTTATCAACATAAAATATGTATTTATTAGTTTTTATTTCATCTTGATATAATTTCATTTTTAATATCAGCTAGCATTGTACTAGAAAGTATACTTTTTTGTGTTTCAGAATCACATTCATATTTTAACGTTATAATATTTTTTCAAATTATTTCATATGCCTTTATGACTATAGTATTTCGGATTACAATTGCCATTATCAATGATAATACACCTAAAAATATTGATGTCTATCCAATTGGGTCTAATTATTCTGGGTTACTACTATTGCAGTTTTCTTGCAATGTCGGTTTTAAGTATAGAGATACATAAGTATAATAGATATGTAGTTAATATTTCAAAAATGGGAATATTTATAAAAGACGTTTTTAAACCTCCTAAACAATACTAGATATTGTCTAATCCTTTACAAAGCATAACACTATGACAAAGAATAAATAATAGGCTTAAGTTAAATATTATTCAGAATTGCATTGCTGTTTTATTATGATATTAGCATTATTTTAATAATATTTTATTAACTATTTATTTGTTTCTAAACAATATATTTTGTTTTTTTTGCCATTAAATAATAAGTGTTTATTTAAATATATTATACCTACTTAAAATTTTAATATCAAATGATTAAAGAATAATTAGTTTGCTTACATACATTTATTATTACACATCTCGCAAACGACGATTTCGGCTTAAATTGTAATTGAGTTTTGTTGACGTGTAGATATATGAGTAATTAAAATAACAATTTAACTTTTCAATGAAATTAACGTTTCAAAATTGTGTGACGGCTGTAAGTATTTAAGACTCTATTGTTTTAAGTACAATAATTGTGTTATGATTAATTCTAGTTTTATGACAGTAAATTTATATTAACACTAGCGAGTTTGCTATTTTGTGGATTTACTAATTTATATAGTGATTAAGATAAAACTACGAGTACTTTATTGTAAAAATTAGTGGATTAATGAAATCTGTAAACATAATATTTGTTTTTATTTCTGCGTAAATGTAGTTGTTTTATTAGTATACAAGTTTCAAATATCTATTATGTTTCATACTCGGTTTCATATCAATATAATTCCTGTCAATATAGGTTGTTAAGTTAATAATTCATAGTTGTTTTGTTAGTAATTAATCATATACATATCCTACAATTCATTGCGATACGTGGATTTCAAATTAATAGTGATCTATAAGATTACTAATAAATAGATAATGGGAAAATATGATTGTATTTGTTTACGATAATTTAATATACATGTTTAGTTATAAATTACTTATATAGATTTTTATTACATTTTTAATACAAGACATAAGGAAATGTATAAGAATATATAAAAGTTTTTTTTAACTAATGAATTTTAAGTAATTTGTTGTAATTTTGTTTTTGCATATTGTTTTAATCACAATTAGTACTAGTATTGATCTTACAGTTACTCTATACATATATTTTTTAATCATATATAGGCCTAATATTTTTGATATTTCATATATACACATACATATTAAAAGAATTGAATTTTTTATAACTATATTCCTATAGTATGCATTTAGTCATTTATTATGTGTGGCTAAATACTCTTCTATATATCTTTAATTGCTGTTATTATTTTTTTATTAGTTTGAGTTAGCTTACTTTGGTAAGTTCATACTCTATTTGTTTTGTGTTTAAGAAGCAGATTAGCTCAATGTCTATTGTTCATATTGAATTCAAATTAGAACAAATAAAATCTAATTATATTCTATTTGTTTTTTTTTCAGTTGCACGCACTCCTCCACCAGAACCAGAACCGTTTCAAGAGCCCGAGAGAGATTTGTCAGGTAAACAATAATTTTATTATACATATTTTATAACTTTAATTATAAAGTTATGATAAATCAACAAAACAAAGCACAGTATAGACTTTTCTATAAAAATCACATATTTTATCTTCTTTGTACATAGTTATGGCTAAATTTAACCAAGACTTTTTAATATAGAATTTTCAGACATCAGTGCCATCTATACGGACCCGTCCGAACCTCAAATTCTGAGCCATCTTCCGACTGAAAACTTCGAAGCGCTCTCTCTGGACGAAAGCGTGAACAACTACCGTAACTCTGCGCCACCTGTGATGAGTCCTAATCAGTATTCTCGATCGAAATCGAATTTAGATCAGGCAAGTTTATCAATGTTTTATTTCTAGTTTATTATATAAGCTTATGCAAAAACAAAAATTATGTATCTACAAAAATATTTTGTATCAATTAAAACTTAAAACACTATTATTATTGTACCTATATTTGTTTTTATTTAATGCTGTAGTATCAATATTAAAATAATAACATCTATACTATGAGATAACCGAGGAGATAACTAAAAAACTGAATAATTTTTACTAGCTGATTGATGAATAAATCTGTTACATATTGACAGTTTGACTAGACATAACAGTATTTTTATAATTGTAATGAAGTATGTGTTTCATATTTATTAAATAAATAAGTATTACAATAAAACAATTTACATTACATTATTTGTAAATAAAATCCGACAATTTTTATATAAAAAATTATAATTTAATATTTTTTTCTTATGTAACTATAGTTTGTTTTGATATTTGACGTAAAATTTACCAGTTTTGATTGCTTTGACGGATCGTGGTCATCCATATTGCAAAAAGTTATTCGAGGTGAACTATATTTTAATAAAAGCATCGGAAAGAATTTATGTACCAAGAAAATAGGAAGTAAATAATAATCAATAAATTGGGGGTTTCATATAATAAAAAGAAAAAGAATTAGAACCACTTGGCACATTGAAACTTGTTTTCATGCAGAATAATACAAAAAAGATTAGGAGGTAATTTCTTCAGCATGCCTAATAACAAAAATAATTAATATTTTGAGGGTGACCATGCCTCCCTAGGAATATTCCTAAGCCATTGGGCTTAATCTTTTCATCCTTTGGAAAGGTAAAAACAGATACCGCTGGTTCTCCTGCATCAAGACAAGTTTTATAATTGGATTTGCACCCAGGCACACAAGGACTTGACAATTTTGATTACAACAACAACTAAGTTTCAATAAATTACTTTAAAAAGCACCACAAAATGTTCATTCGCCGCCGGATTTGCCGCCATTCTTTGAAGAAAGCACTTAACATCGCTTATAACCCGGCTAATTTGTCACCCACGGATATTTGTTTCTACGCAATGTCTACGGAAAAAAATTGTCCCGGTAACTTACAAATCTCTCGTTCTTGAGCGTTCAGGATTATTCCAAATGTTCCCCTCGACACGAATGGGAGCGTTTTCTCTATTACAACACTAATTTTCATTAGGTTAATTCTTTCTTTTGTTTTAAGTCTATTCATATGTTCTCTTTTAATTTCAGGTGTACATAAGTCGACTAGCAAAACAGCAAGACCGCGAAAACAACGTTTCGAATGCCAAAACGAAACCCGTCGCGAAGTTCGGCTATCAAAGACAGAGCAGTGTTAAAGAAGGATCGGAGAGAATTAAAGACAAATCCAACTTAAACGCTTCGATTAAGCACAGTGTTTCTGAAGTAAACATTACCAAAGGTGGAAATGTCAATTCCAGAAACCCGTCGCGTAAGAATTCGTTTTCGAGACCTAACCGGAAATTTAGCGAACCTAACGTTTCCGTTATTAAGTCTAATCTTAGGATACCTGTAGACAAGCCCTCCGCACCTGTGGACATCTACGTCAGTTCCAAATTATCGCCGGATGAGTCGCCTGTTGAAGAAAACGAATTTGTACCTGTTAGTAACGATAGACCTGTAGGAATCAATTTTGACGACTTTTTACCTGTAAGTTAATATTTTTTTTGGTTGTTTGGTTTGGATTTAAGGATGTAATTAGGATATTCTACAATCCAGAATGGTATAACTTTAGAGTTTAGTCTTAGGGTATAACCTACATCTAAGAATATTATATATGCTCTAGAAATCTAGTCTCGAATCAAAATCTGGTCAGGCTACCACCTCTGAAAATATTTGCACTTATTTCAGATTCACTCTGTTTATATTTTGATTTCAACTTTGAAATTATCTATATTTTTTAGAATTTATAGATACAACCAATTATCTTATCTTTTAAAGTTTAACAGATACAGTTAAAATATTGAGTTTGCCTTCCTCTGAATAAGATTAAAACTGCAGTGTGTTAGTAGTTTTTTCATCTTTAATCATTTAATTTCAGAAAAATAACGACATTCCTGGCTTGGGTCAATATTTCACCGAAATGTCCGAAGCTGAAGGTCTCGGAGTGTTGATGCGCGGCAATCAACCGATGATCAGCATTGTCAGCAACAGGAAAAGGAACGTGAAACTTATGTTGGCCCAGTGCAGGAACAAAGGTATTAAGGGCGCCCTAGAGACTGCAGTTACCATGGATGATATTAGTGCATTAGTGGACGTTTTAAGTGTTATTAGTGGAAAGTCGTAAGTAATTTTATTAATAATGATACACTTAGAAAAATGATTTGTGGTCCTTTTTGTTTATAGAACTAATTGGAATTTGGACATATGTGTCATTGTATTACCTAAACTAGTGGAGCTGTTGCAGAGCAAATATGAACAGTAAGTTTTTATTTTTTATTTATTCGGCCTAAATAATGTTTTCAGTTGATTGGTTTTTATACTTATAATACAGGGTCCGGCAATAGTGCATCGTGCATCTGTAGCTCTTAGAATAAAAAAATTGGGAATTTTGTTTAAGTGCATACCTAAAGTATATACTAGGATGTATTTCAGGAAAATATTTTAACTTCTATAGGGTGGCTCAAAGAAGTGTGAGTCAATAGGGATAATGTTTTTTTAAATAAAACACCTTGTACTTGCATTTTTGGATTCCTTTCAGATCACTTTACATAATGCTAAGACATGAGTAAATGCATTTCGATAATTTCAGTGATATTAATAATAAACATTATATAGGTATTTTTCAGACTTTCTTAAAAAAATATTAATAATACAAAAACTGTCCTGATATCAAAACTATATTGGGTATTTACTTTAGATGGTCTGTACTTACTTTGCTATAAATATAGAAATCGTAAATCATACAGGTTGTTCGAAATACGCCAAACTTTCTAAAATATGAAATTATTTTTCTTCGTTTTTTTTTAATGGGACACCCTGTATATTATTTTTCCAATAGATGGAGAATTAAAAAATGAATATTTTTTGTATTTAGAGTATTTCAAAATTTTAACTGTTTCGCAGATATTTGCGGTTTTATATTACACACACAGTAAATTTTTATCTAAGCCACCCAGTGATTTTTCTCTCGTATTTTACCATTGAAAGCGCCATATGAAATAATACTGCTTGTATCTGCAAAACCATTAAAATTTTTGAAATACCTTAAATACAAAAAATGTTCATTTTTCAACTCTCCATCTAATAAAAAAATAATATACAGGGTGTTCCATTTATATAATTAAAGAAAAAATATTTTATATTTTAGAAAGTTTGGCGTAGAATATTGAACATCCTGTATGATTTACGATTACCATATTTATAGCAAACTAAGAACAGACCATCTAAAGTAAATACCTAATATAGTTTTGATTTTGAGAACAGTTCTTGTATTTTTAATAATTTTTTTTAAGAAGGGGTGTTTTTTATTTATTTTTTAATATCTCTGAAACTATCGAAATATATTTACTCATATCTTGGGATTATGTAAAGTGATCTGAAATGAAGCCAAAAATGCAATATTACACAGGGTGTTCCATTTAAAAGAAATCATCCAGATCCACTCACACTTTTTTGAGCCACCCTATAGAAGTTAAAATATTTAATTCCCAAGTTTCTTATTCTAGGAGCTACAGATGCCCGACGCACTATTGCCGGACCCGGTATAAGGAACTAGTAAGGGTGAAATTAAAAATAGGATCTATTTTAAAATGATACTATGTGACAAAATGGTGAAGGTGTTTTTTTTTGTAAAATAGACTTCGTATTTCTATATCTGTTATGTTATTTTCTTTAACGAATCTGATAATTGTAAATGAAATACTTTAAAAAAATAATATGTAAAACATATTTCATTAATCTAAATAATAGTATGCAACCCGATAGCATAAAGATTCAGATTTTGAGGTCTTATCTACCGCGCCAAAGATCTCAGGTTCTATTCCTGCGCTCGGAATTATTTGTTATTATAAATTAATAATTAATTATCTCTTATGATTGAAAAATAATTTAACCGTTTTGGTTTTATCTAATTTTTTATGTTAATCAAGAGAATACTCTGACGATTATTGATTTGTATATTTATTTAGGTATATATTTTTTGTGACAAATTGGTGAAGGATCCGAATTTTCACTTTTAGATTTAATATTACCACTGATAACCCTTATATACTATAACCCGGTTATAGTATATTCATACTAATAAATCATTTTCATTCATTTCGTCCTTTTTTTTCTCAAAAAGTGTGAAGAATAAAAATGTTTTTTTTTCTTTTCTACATTTTTTAAATATGCGACTACAGTCTACTTAGTACTGTATTGTGTAGATGGCTCTGTGTGTCGTTATTGATAACTTTTTATTATATCGTATATTTTATTATATTTGGGGCATTCTCACGACTCGTGTACTTGACAAACACATCACACACACCATTTTGACAAACTGGTGTCCAGGGTATACATGGTGCGTCGGGCATCTATACAGAATTTCTAAGTTATTTATTATAGCAACTACGCCGCGTTTTTGCCAGACACTGTATAACAATAAAAAATACTTGCAAAGTACACGATTCGTGAGAATGCGCCTTGATATACAGTTTAATGTCAATAATATCCTTGTTGTATCTGGTTAAAAATAATACCAACTATCTTTTTTGTAACCAGTCACTTTGCAATCTTTGCATATTATAACTATTATATGATCAAAAAAAACGGCGTTTAGTTGACTTTGAAATTAGGATGGAATACATTCCCTATACAGGGTGAGTATTATAAGTTCAAATATTTTTATGGCTGATAGGTCTTGATAACAGAAACATATTTCCTCTTTGCCGTTGTTCAAATAACTCTCAAATAACCAAGTTATTTTACTTTGAAAATAAAAATATATATTTTTTGCTTTAATTTCGAGAACCACTAGATTTTTTTCTGGATTTTCTTGTAAATTTAATCCGCTACCTGTGGCGCCATATTATCAAGATATTATGGTTTTTAACTTATGATTTTTTGAAAAAATATCAAATTTAAAGAGATTTGCCAAAAAAGCTCATGTTTTTCGCGAATCGAATTTTTCTGTTTTTTTTTGTTTTTTTTTATTTTTTGGGGTCGAATTATACCACCCCTAAAAATATTTGCAGTACTTATTTAAGACTCACCCTGTTCATATTTACATATAAAAGTCAGCGTCTTAATTACGAAGCCTTTTCCGACGCCCTTTTTTTTTCGATCATATATTGGCGTAAACTAAATATATAATTTGCAATTAAGGCTACTTCCTTTAAAGAATTCATTAAATAATATTGTTTTCGACGTGAAAACATTCTCACTAAATTAACATTTTTGCTATTATAATTTTACATTCCAAATTTATGTTATATTACATTATAAGTACTTTTATATATCATTTTTAACTTTATCTGTCATAGTAATTGTATACATATCGTTACCGAGTACATATTTATAAACATATGAGCACCCAAAAAAAACAAGAATAATAAAGCTAAAGGCGTCGCAAGAATATATTAATTTTATATGCCAAAGGACAATGTACCTTTTAATATTAATAAGATAAAATATTTGTTAATGTATTTCTTGCTTATTTTTTCTTTACAGTCTATCGAATTTGTATTCTGAAAGTGTACATTTAACACGTGCTGGCGCATCGTTTAATTGATTGTTGTTGGTGTGTCTGTGGTGTGTCTCAGGTCAAAATTTCTGTTCGAGCCACACCCCGCAATGATTAACTTATAAGCACTATAGTCTGTCCAGCGAGAGCATATCTGATTCCAGACCAGAAACGAAACAATAATATTTTTTAAACTAAAATAACAACTTTCTCTTTTATACATTCCTTTGCTAGGCGTACTAGTCATTTAGAACCTCAAAATTAGTGGAATAAATTAGTGGTTTCAATTATACTTTATGTTTATGAGTTTAAGATCATTCACAATGTCTAAAAAATACAATCAAAATTAATAGATTATCCTAGCTACAGCCAGAGAGAAACTAATAACTAAAGTGAGAGAGACCGATCAACGTTAATTTTTGAAGACTGTGCTAGTGGCGCGACCTTTGGCGTCTAACCCGAACTATGAGCGCATTATCGATATAGTAGGTTGCATTCATATCTATATTCTGGCGCCAAAAATTTAAAATTTGTATATTTGAACCGAATCTTAATCTTTCAAGTTTATAATAAGAAATCTTCGTAGTTCGTAGTTTTTTTAGATTATTTTGTTGCCAACGAAAATTTATTATTAGACTTTAAAGCATTAAAACTTATAAATAAAATACTGTGTAGGAACATAATAATTTATTTAACTCCATACTCCTTGCCATACTCCAACTCAAGGCTGCAATCTTCAGTATCTTTTTTATCTAACTTGGTTGGGAGTGAACAAGGAAGCACGGTTGGGAGCTCGCACAGAGTATCAGTAGGTATCCCGTAGGTATTCAATGTTTTTGATAGTCTTTATTCTCTAAAAAGAACCTAGCAGTTGAAGAAAATAATCTGTATTACTGGAAATAATACCATGTATAATACCTAGTCGTTTCATAAGTATCAGAAAAGAATGTGATGTTTTAAATTAAAAAAATTAAATTAGCAATGTACGATTATTATGTGCACTCACTATTACTATTAGGTATCTTAAAATAATTACCGAGATAAAACTTACCTTTAAAGGAAACGTTTTGTCTGGGTCTCAACCACAAAAAAAATTACAAAAATGCCGAATAATCGTGGAATCTGAAATAATCAATAATGACAATAATCTTCTCTTCTGACAAGATAAAAGAACAGGCACATTCAGTCAAAAACAATTTATTACTCCGATTTGCTCCGAATATCAACAGATTTTAGTTATCTCCTTCTAGAACTAAGAAATAGAAAAAGCTACTGACAATCTAATTAATCCTGTCAAATGTTTAACTTGCAAAGTTAAAAACTTCCTTTTTTGACCGCCTGAAAGCTATGCGCGTCTGGGATGCGCGGTGACAAAATAAACTTGTCTACGAAATGCCCTATTCCACAAGCCCTCTCACTTTAGTTATTAGTGTTCTCTCTGGCTACAGCTTGTGGTAGTCACTTGTATCCATAGAGAAAGCCTAATAATTAGCTTATAGAACAATAAACTTTTGATGTATTTACCACAATGTCACTTGTCACTTGCCAGATGATAATCAAAGGCCATAATGGCATTAATAGTAAATGTTGAGATATTATTTATCGCAAAAGTTAAAAAATTGTTAACTTTTTCTTCTAATTCAAATTACTACCACTAATTTATTCCACTAGTTTTGAGGTTCAGAATGAAGGTTATCCGTTCTATTTCTTTCACGTATTTTTTTTACATGTGTGACTTGTAATTTTCATACAAAAT